TTTTTGAATTGCTAATGGGATAACTACTACAATTAGTTGATATTACATCTACCTATTAAAACTTTAATTGAGATGACATATCACAAATCAACTAAAGCCATATCATTATTAACAGTTCTCATTGCAATATTGAAATTTGAACTACTTGTTAAACATGACTAATAGTTATATAAGTAGCTCTTAATTAATACGCGAAATCCATCAGGAACAAGCTAATTTTGCATAAGGAAGTGTTGAGCCTGCTAATCATTCGGTAAACTATTATAACCAAGACGACTTGTAGACGGCCATTATTGAGGTTTTTATCTCACGGTAAAGTTTGTGATAATTTAATACAAACGTATTTTTCTCCGATTGGCAGCAAATATTAATTTTGCTGACACATATCAATCAGCAAAGTATTACTTTTCCTGCCTAGGCAGCAAAGTGGTTACTTTGCTGATTGATATGTATCAGCAAAACTAAAAATCCATAAATCGTTCATAAGTTCCTTTATATTTCATCTGAGACTTCTCCGGCAACAAATTCAACTCGATATTTTTTGCCACCTCCCTCATTTCTGGAGGTGTTAGTACTTCCAGGTCACTATCACTGTCCATTATATAATAATTCAAATAATCCGATATTTTTTCGCACAACTGTCAGAAATTTCATGAACTGTCAAACCATAATTATTATGGTCATTTCCATAGCAATCAACCATTCCAACTTCCAACAACTGCGATTTCTATCAAATTTTATTTTAATTGAACATTACAGGAAGAATAAAGAGATATACAGGGTGTTTCGAAATTCGACCGACAACGCTTCACAGGAGGTAGCTCTCGTGATTTGGTGAATAATGAGGTAGGAACATAAGGGTCCCACGTGATTAGTTATCGAGTTGCAGGGTGTTGAAGTTGGGAAATAAAAATAATTTATTCGCAATAACTCAAAAACGGCTGATCTTTTTTCATTCAAACTCGAAAAGTGAATCAATATTGAGGAACTTCAATTCCAGACAAAAAATTCATAATCAACAATTCATCCAGTGGCGACGTTAAGGGATATGATTTATTGATTTTGCAAAAAAAAATGTGTTGTGATATGAATTTTCGAAATTTCATGTGGTATTATTGAAGGCCATTTAATTTTGATTGAAAAAGGCTCACTTGATTGAACTCGATAGAACCCACCATTTCCGAGAAAAAACGAAAAATGTGATTAGTCCTCAAATTTTTTTACTCAAAATCGTTCAACATGAAACAACAAAAATATCAACCCAAAATTATAGTAACTGTTCGAAGTTCTGGCCATTGACTTGTTGACACATTGTGCAACGTCTGCTCATCGCAAAACGCATCCAAGGAAATAGTTTATGCTTAGTTATAAGTTCCGTTGCAGCCTCGTTTCCTGCTACGAATTCCTTTTCAGTTTCAACGTTTCAACGATGATGTCTTATAACTAGGATTTTTTTATTTATCCAACAAAAAATCAATCGGATTCAGATCAGGTGACCTAGGGGGCCATACTTTGGACCTCAAGTATGGTACATGTCCAATCCATTTTCTCCAAAATGGTCACTTAGTAACGCTCTTGCACCTCTGTCAAAATAGGCACCGGCATCATCATGTTGAAACCACATGTTCCTGCTGATATTTAGCGGAACATTTTCCAATGGTTCTGGAAGAACTTTTTGTAGGATCTCCTGTAGATTGATCCATTTATTGCATTAGGTAGAATGTATGAACTAACCAGGTAATTTTCAGAATACCAGCAGACAAATTGATTGAAAATTTGGTCTAGATCCAGAAGGAAAATTTGGTCTAGATCTAGATGGAAAATTTCATGTCAGTTCTTTTTATTTTATATGTGACTGTTTCCATTGAAAATTCCTGCCGTGGTGAATTTCTGAATTTTGCTTCATCGGTGTATGATACTCAGGGAAACTAGCGAGTCCACCACACATTTAGCTGAAGCAATTCTAATATTTTATTCTCACATAATAGTCTTCCAATGCCTGTACTCTTGTGAAATTTTTTACCACTGACATCACATGATCCTTAAACTCCTCATTTTAGGATCGCATTTCTCCTTCTAGTAGTCATTTTCACAATTATAGGGAAACACTTGATCAATATTTATTTATTCATTCATTTTGATAGATGTCAAAAGCTGTCTCAAATTAAACTGAGTTTTATTTGCAAAGATCATAAAGACATAACATTTCGTTTCAAATTCTTGGATTTTTCTACTGGTTATGGATTTTACCAACGAAGAAATGACTGATATGTTATTATTATATGGAGAAGCGAGAAGAAACGGTAGAATGGCATTACGTCTATACGAAGAAAGATTTCCTAATCGTAGAGTACCTCACCATTCTACTTTTGCCAGCATAGAAAGGAGAATTCGTGAAACAGGCAGATTAAGTGTCCGAAGAAATAATGCAGGAAGGCGTAGAACCACAAGAACAGTTAGATTAGAGAAAGAAATATTGAACGAGGTTTCGGAGAGGCCATCGTTGAGTACCAGAACCATAGGTCGAGCATTGAATGTGAGCAATTCCATTGTGTGGAGAGTACTGCGAGAACAAATGCTACAGCCATATAAACTCACCAGAGTACAAGCATTGGAACCGAGAGACTATCCCACGAGAGTGGAATTTTGCAATTGGTTCAACGAAATGTGTCGTGAAGACGTAAATTTCCCTATGTTCTATACACTGACGAAGCGAAATTCACCAGAGAAGGAATTTTCAATACAAGGAACAGTCACGTATGGAATGACGTGAATCCACACGAAATTCGTCAACGTGGGTTCCAGACCAAATTTTCCATCAATTTGTGGGCCGGTATTGTCGGAAATTGTCTGATTGGTCCATATATTTTACCCAATAAATTAAATGGATCAATTTACAGACGTTTCCTACAAGAAGTTCTTCCAGAATTGTTGGAAAATGTGCCGCTGGTCATCAGAAGGAACATGTGGTTCCAACATGATGGTGCGCCTGCACATTTTGACAGAAGGGCAAGAGCTTTACTCAGTGAAATATTTGGTGACCAATGGATTGGACGTGGTGGTCCTCACGTATGGCCCCCTAGGTCACCAGATCTGAATCCGATCGATTTTTTTCTTTGGGGTCATATGAAATCCTTAGTGTACGACACCATTGTAGAAACTGAGGAGGAACTTATTGCAAGAATACAGGCTGCAACGGAAATCATAAATACTAACCGTGAGATATTTTCAAATACGCGTTTTGCGATGAGAAGACGTTGCACAATGTGTCAACAAGTCAATGGCCAGAACTTCGAACAGTTACTATAATTTTGGGTTGATATTTTTGTTATTTCATGTTGAACGATTTTGAGTAAAAAAATTTGAAGACTAATCACATTTTTCGTTTTTTCTCGGAAATGGTGGGTTCTATCGAGTTCAATCAAGTGAGTCTTTTTCAATCAAAATTAAATGGCCTTCAATAATACCACATGAAATTTCGAAAATTCATATCACAACACATTTTTTTTTGCAAAATCAATAAATCATATCCCTTAACGTCGCCACTGGATGAATTGTTGATTATGAATTTTTTGTCTGGAATTGAAGTTCCTCAATATTGATTCACTTTTCGAGTTTGAATGAAAAAAGATCAGCCGTTTTTGAGTTATTGCGAATAAATTATTTTTATTTCCCAACTTCAACACCCTGTAACTCGATAACTAATCACGTGGGACCCTTATGTTCCTACCTCATCATTCACCAAATCACGAGAGCTACCTCCTGTGAAGCGTTGTCGGTCGAATTTCGAAACACCCTGTATATCATTATGAACAATCGGAGAAAAAATTATATGTTCAACTCGGCAGCAAAGTAGGTTGACTGCCTTAGCTGGATTCCTAGCCTCGCTACGCTCGGCTATGAATTCAGCCTCGGCAGTCAATCTACTACTTTGCTGCCTAGTTAAACAAATAACTATTTTCTACAAACGTCAGTAAAAGTATAATTCATGACGTATGCTAAGTAAACGACTGCAATCAAATTCTACTGTTTGATACGTTCCCTCCATTTTAGCTTTTTTGTAGAATTATGACGGCAGAATATAGTGATCAGGCGCGTAGGTATGTTTTTTTTCTAGGGGAAGTACTCCGTAACGAAAATTGAATTATAATTTGGAGGTTGCCTAGTAGTATAACGCGTTTCAGTGTATAATAAATCAGCACAATATGGTGGTTTAGTAGTTTGGACTCATATTCAAGATTACCAAAATAACAATTATCAGTCATTCAAATGAACAACTCAAGATTAATATCCTTAATGAAAACATATTCTTTATGCGTATTATGAACTAGATAAAAAAACAGATAATTTCTCGATTTCCCCATTAGATAATATGAAGTATATATAGGCAACTCATCATCCAGAACTCTTGATCAAATCTAATAAACAAAATATCAGGTACCCCCGTGACAAGATTATATTACTTTGAAAACCGCGAGGAAAACCTATCGATAACAGCATCTATATCAATTTCAATATATCTATGAATATTTAATGTAAAGTTAATCCGACTAGCCTGGCCTGACCCCATTGTACACCTCAACCATGATTTCAGTGTCTTACTTGAGTGTATAGAAAATGATCTTTAAACACTCGCCGCACTCACCGGCATAACAGATTTTATCTGCAGGAGTGGATAAATAGTGGAAAATATTTCGATACTGCAATGCTTTGAAGTCTCTAAGGCTGTTTCTTTGGGTAAATTATTAATGGTTTATATTTAGTTTCTCCCCATTTATTTTTCTTCAGATCTATTTTCGATTGCAACAAATCTGCCAGAAATGTTGGAGAGAGGATTCATTTCTGAATTTACTAACATATTCAGAAACTTGTTTTACTAGAATCTTTGAACATAATCAGGCATCAACCTGTTGATATATTTTTTTTTGTGCCCCCCTCTTATCTACGCTGGTGGTAGTGATGACCCTGTATAACACTGCTAATAATCATTTCCTTTTCAGAAAAATTCGTGGAAAACACCTCCCCCGTCCCCTCGACTCCCGAGCCCCCCGGCCTCGACTGCACGATCGTAAGCGCGGACGCCGAAAGCGGCCGAGACTCGCCCGTCGACGTGTCGTCCACGTCGGAATCGGGCATCGTCGGGCGCACTCGGCCAGAGTCGGCGCCTTCGGGCGGTCGGCGCTCGCCCAGCAGGAACCCGCTGCTGCAGGAGCGGTGCACCTGCGAGGAGCTCGCAAACGTCGTCTGCCACCTGGAGACCAAGGACCTGTGGGACAAGTTCAACGATCTGGGCACCGAGATGATCATCACGAAGACTGGGAGGTTAGTTCTTGTAATAATTTTTCTGGGGTTTGACGAGATACATGGTGTCTTGAATTCGATCATCACCATTAGGAGTAGTATGCGAGATACGCAGGTGGTAAAATTGGGGCACAGCGGTGCATTTGCCCAATTGATAAGATGTGGATACCACCCTGTTCAGCATCGTCCCCGAGACCAACCCTTAGCGGGGCGAGGAAAGACACTTCACGACGGAGGTGAAGCGAAGACGCTCAAGACAAAAGACGGGATCAAAGACGTTCCTCAGTCTGTCAATTATCCATAACTTATCATTATACAGTATAGTTTATTTTTAGTGTTCATAAGTAATATAGCAACTTATAATAATCGACCATCATTCCTATTAACCAGTTTCCAACGAATATGCCATTTAATAAACTCCGAGTATGTGAAAAATTATTCAGGTGTCTTCTGGAAATGTTCATTGGATATTCTGAAATGAATGGCTCTTTCACATTATCAGTTTTTGTCTGTTTTAGAATGGTGATTTCAGATCACTATCTTGTGGCCACCATCATCAACTTTCATTTCTCCTCTTCGGTGCTATATATAATCGATTTTTCTGATATAAATAGAACATGATATCACCTGTTCGATCTTCATTTGTCAAAAATCAGAGAAATTAGTGATACATTTCGATTTCATCACGTATTTCATGCATAAGGGTGGATATAACTGCGACCTAAATAATCAATTCTGCCCCCTCCTATTGCTGTATACACGATGAGGTTATTCTTCATATAGCTATAGTTCGTAACCGCTCAGAAACAGCATATGAGGTAGTTCCAAATAAGGTAGCATCATCTCCTCAATTATGTGTGCTCCTAGGTTTCTCGCCCTTGGGTTCTGTAGGTTTGCGGATAGAGATTCCCTTCTTCTACTTGAAAAACCTGTATTTGTCTTTCTATTCTAAGGCGAGCTCCCTGAGTTTGTTTTATCATAGTAGTATCAGTAGTCTTTGAGTTTTTCTCCTGCCATCTGGAGACCAAGGACCTGTGGGACAAGTTCAACGATCTGGGCACCGAGATGATCATCACGAAGACTGGGAGGTTAGTTCTTGTGATACTTTTTATGCGGTTTGACGAAATACATGGTGTTTTGAATTCGATCATCTCCATTAGGAGTATATCATAAGAGATACGCAGATGTTAAAATTGGGACAGAATGGTGCATTTGCCCAGGTATTAATATGTAGGTACCACCCTGAACCACCCTGTATCACCCTGTGCCACCCTGTACCACCCTATTTAGCTTCGACCCCTAGACCAATCCTCAGCAGGACGGGAAAAGACACTTCACGACGTTGGTAAAGCAGACGCTGAAAACGGGACGGGATCAAAGACGTTCCTTACTCTTTCAATTAGTCATAACTCATCATTTTACAGTATAATTCATTTGTATAGTGTTTATATAAGTAGTATAGTCACTAATAATAATCGACAATTTTTCCTATTAACCAGTTTCCATCGTATATGCCACTTAGTAATCTCCGAGTATGTGCACAATTATTCTGGAAATATTCATTAGATATTCTGAAATGGATGACTCTTCTACATTGTCAGTTTTTCCTAGTTTTTCAATGGTGATTTCAGACCACTATCTTGTGGCCACCATCATCAACTCTTCATTTCTCCTCTTCGGTGCTATAATCGATCTTTATTTGTTAGAAATCAGAGAAATTAGTGAAACATTTCGATTTTATCACGTATTGTACGCATGAGGGTGAATATACTACGACCTAAATAATCAATTCTGCCCAATACTTGATGAGGTTGTTCTCCATATAGCTATAGGTAGTTCCAAGTAAGGTAGCATCTTCTCCTCTATTATGTGTGCTCCAAGGTTTCTTGTCCTTGGGTTCTGTAGGTTTGCGGATAAAGATTTCATTCTCCTATACTCACAAAACCTGCATTTGTCTTTCTCTCCTGAGTGAGTTTGTTTTATCATAGTAGTAGTCTTCGAATTTATCGCCTGCCACTAGGAGACCATCAGGAAACTGTGAGACAAGTTCAACGATCTGGGCGCCAAGATGATCATCACGAAGACTGGGAGGTTAGTTCAGGATGGGTTCTGGGTGATTATTTTCTTCGTATGATTTTGCACCAATCAGAACGTTCAATGGAGTTGAGCTACCTTGTATTATTTCGAATATACGTGAATATACATAGAGTAACTCCGCCACTCAGAAATTTTGAATTATTTCCGTAGTAACCAATTCATATTGTTACATATACAAACAAAGCGAAGACAACGCCCCTTGTATAATGTTGACGTTCGTTCAGAACTACTCAAAAAATGATCGCATCGAATACAATTCGAACTTTAAACTATTCAAGGTTATATAACAGTCAAACTGACACTCATCGTAATTATGCAACAAGTTCTATACCCGATGAGGTTGTTCTCCGTATAGCTATAGCAATTTCTCTTGTCCTTTATAACAAGAAGAAATGACACATTCCCGCGCACATTCCTTAATTATGTGGGTAAAGGTTTCCTCCTCCTACTCACAGAACCTGCATTTGTCTTTCCCTTCTAAGCCGAGATTCCTGATTTTGTTTTTATCGTATTAGTCTTCGATTTCCTTCTTCGACTTTCGATCTGTCACTCTTGATGGCATTCTGTTATTCTTAGTGGTGCCCGCGAGAGTCTCGTTCTCGAGATTCTCGCATGGTCTCGTCCCGTTTTCGAGACAAAACTCGAGACGAGACTTGGACAAGACGAGACGAGACGAGACTTTTATTGGTCTCGTCTCGAGTCTCGTGTAAGACTTCTCGTGTCTCGTGCGAGAGTCTCGCAGGTAAATATTTCTGCGTGCCGACTTAAGAATTTCATTCATAATAAAACATATTTATATAGAATTCTATAAGAAAACATCGGAATCGCAATAATAATGAAGCTACCTACACGATGTTTGTTATGTCTTATAACGACTGGGTGAAAAACAAAAAACATTTGCGATCGCGAAGGCTGATCTGACTGATAAAGGATTTTTTTCTCCAATCGGCAGGGATAGTAGCTTTTTCCTGCCGCTTAACAGGCAGAAAAGGTGTACTTTTACTGCCTACGCAGAAAATGTTTGTTGCTATGCAACGTTCCAAGAAATTCTAATGAAATTAGTTATCAAAATTTACACTGCCATTGGGTGAACACAAAATGATGGAGTTTTCAATAAAAAAATTACACAAAATTGGTTTTATATCATTTGGAGAAAAAATTCTATATTTCACACGGCAGCAAATGTAGATTGACTACTTTTCTGCCTAGTAACACAAATAACTATTTTCTTAGATACCTTCTTCTCAAATGAGTAAAATAATTTTGGGATTAATAAAGTTTTTGTTTATTTGTTTAGAATATACGTGTTACTTTTTATTTTTTTAATTTTCGAATATATAATGCTATGTTTTGTTTTTCTTGTTTAGATGTATGATGTAAGTATGTACCTAGTAAATGTAGTAAGTAAATGTGAATATCCCGTACTAGACTGAAACAAGATTATGCATGACGAAGTTGCGATACATTTGCGAGACTCTCGCACGAGACGCGAGACAAGACGAGACTCAAGGCTGCGAGACGAGACTCGAGACAAGACTTCATGTTTTATCGGCGAGACGAGACGAGACTTTATGGAGGTCTCGTCTCGTTGGTCTCGTGTGAATCACTAGTTATTCTGCAATGAGGTCTAACATAATTTTTTGTTCACCTAATCGACTACTGAAACGTGAGATCAGAGTTGATAGAACTGATGAATATACTTCTTATTTTCGTGACATTGGTCGTGAACTTCCACATTAGAATAAAAGAAAAACGTTAGTCTGCTCAAGTCTTTCCATAAATTGAGATTTCCTGTTCAAATATTCTACATCACTTTTTCTGAATATTTCCGATGAAACAGGCCACAGCCTTCAGGGTTATCGGGCGAAATTTTGGGATTTACGACTTCGACATTGACCTCACGATTTAGTAACTCCAAGTGGCGAGACATCGGATATTTATTGGAACTTTCAGTTCAAAAGACGAAAATCAATGAATGAACATGAAAATGAAAAATTTGGTTCAAGAAAATACATCTGCTTTGTAAATTAAAAAAAAAATTCAAATGATGTACGTTTCGATAACATCAATTCGACATGATTATCTAAGGATTCCTTGAAATATAAATTTACTAAATACATGTTCAAACGAAATGAGAACATGCGAGCCAAACGTTATTTTCAACTGATAAGTCAATTAACTATTTTCCAACAAATGGAAGGTATATTCATCTTGGAATATTATGTATAACAGATCTGTGAAATGAGTTTCAACTGATGATGAGTTGGTATTTATCTTGGAATTTATATGTTCTATGAACGATATGGGAACGTTGTAGGCCTATACTTATTCTTTTTTGAAAACTCCGAAGTAATGACCTACAAGAGAATGCTTCACAAAAACTATTTCCTCTTGACTTTGTTTAGTGCTCTGTCTCCAACTCTCGGTATATTGATTTATTCTTATCGTCAATAATTGCTTCATCGTGATATGATATGATGATCTGCAGCTGAAGCAATCGATGTGAGTACTTAGTGAAGAATCAAACGGCGTCTAACTGAAATAAAATGAAGTTGTTTATGGAATAATCAATTTGTTGAAATAATCTAATTAGCGAGAGCATATACCAATATCTGCTAATGACGCTATAAAGGTGTAGAAACAAATTAAAATATCTTTCCCACGTATCGACGAAGACTAGATATTTTCGCTTCATTTCATTGCTTACATGAAGTAATCAGATAGGTATGAAATTATCGACGACTCGGATTTCCAGTCTATCAAAGTATCGCAAATTGTATAATCCGATATTGAATCATCGACAAGTTTGCAGAAAATTAATGATAATATTATAACTGAATCTCACTGCTGTCGAAGTTACCTACAACTGAAAAAAACTGACAAGGTATTTCGTATAGGAAATCAATAAATCCAGACAAATGAGGCCACACCTCTTGAGAGGTTTTTTATTAGTGATAAAGAGGTGTAAGTCAATATCTATATCATTTCGGCCAATGTGAGCTCCGATGAAATTTTTCATTTATTCATTTTATTTACATGAATAGGCTATTCAACAGATAGTTTTACCTATCCAGTTACAGAGTAGCACAAATTAGAACAATATAATCAATATAGTTATGAAAGTTGATACAGTTCGAATGAACAGTGTGCAGTTGAAGTTGAGACTCTTTCCGTTCATATGAGAGATGGTGAAGTTGTTGATTGCATCTGAAGTTCAGAATACCCACAAATGTTCTTTGATACGATCGGAATGTACATTATAATGGGGCAAATAATGGAGCCGTTCTCTAGGGTCGATTTCAACAGAGAGTTGTATAAAGTAATTGCACCATCAGGTTTTGAGAAGCTTTAAGTTGCTTCCAGAATGAAGCCAAGATTTATTTTTTAACGTGGCTGTCTAAATTCAATTAAAATTTGTTGAGTAAAATAATTAATGTCTCGTTGAAAGCTTTGATAATCCTAGCTATTGATTTGTACACCTTGAAGTCGTATGTAAAAAGGGCAATCTTTGTGTGTGTAAAACAGTCACCGATATCGTTTATAAAAATATTGAAGAGCAGGGGACCTGAATGGGAACCATGAGGCACCCCTGAAGTAATTCGGTGACACTCAGAACGAGAGCCGTTAACAACAACGTATTGGTATTTGTCAGCTAAATAGGACGTGATAAAACTAGGATGGTCGCCATGCACACCGACATTCTGGATCGTCAACTCGTTGGAGGCCTTCGAAAAATCGGTGTACACTGCACAAGTAGTGAGGTCAATATCCATATTATCTAGTATCGCTTGAATGAACGGAACTAGGTTAGTTACAATAATTGATATATTACCATAGAAGCCATGCTTGTTGGGATTAAAAGACATTATCATTTGAAGAAACAAGTTATTCGTTACTAATACTTCAAAAATTACATCGTATTTATTGCCGGTTTTGTGCACTGAGACAACCTGCGCCATCTTCCATAATTTCGGAAAACTTTTGTTGAATATAATGAAAAGAGGTTCCATCAAAGTTTCAACACATGACTTGATGAAGAGAGGGGAGATAGCGTCAGGTCTCGGCATTTATTCTGATCTGGATTTGACATAGCATTTCGGATTTCATACTTGGTAATGAGACCTGAAGAAATATTATTTTGACAGTTTCCATCAACAGGGATATCGGGTGGTGATGCATCAGATTCAAATTCAATATACGCTATTGAAATATTCGAAGAGCCTGAATCCTGAAAGCTGTTCCTTTCTACGTTTTGAGGGCCAGTTTCATTTGGTGATCAAAGATGTGTGCTGGTTCATCCTAGAATGTCAATAGTACGGATGAGGACTGTTACCATGAATTTATAATGCCTCTGCTCCACATCATATTCTCCAAATCCTCGGCAAGATACCTCATCAGTGCTATAGTGGATGCATTGAGAAATTTCCTTGATAATTCGTTTTCTCTTGATTGCTTCCTTCCTTCTGGCATCCATCAAAATGTGATTTTTTTCTAATATATTTCATGCGATAGTTTCATGCCTAATAATATCAGTTACTATAATTTGATACCTACATGATGTTTACATTTTCATGGCCCAGTGTAATTTGATATTATGTTGAAATTTCATGCAGAAAAATTTTAATGCTGCGTTGAGAAGAATAAAAATGCATTATAGCATTATAATGAAACACAATCTCGGAGTTTTTCCGATGGCATTTTGGACGACCGAATGACACGAACCCTAATATATTAGCGATAAAATCGTGAGAGGTGTATACCGAACGTATAATACGTTAGCCTATAGCCCATGCCTCAAATGCTAAGCCTCTAAGCAATATTATTGATTTACAGAAATGTTTGCATTCTTATTCTGAAATCACTTCCACCACTAACCTACTATGATCTGTTTGCCATATATAGCACCCTGAAAAGTGAACAGTGAACTTGATGAAGAATTGAAAAAACTACAACTTACCAATCAACTTCACTGAAAAATTCATAGAATGCCCTGATAATTTTGTTTATTTTCTGCAGATATGAATTGACGTAGACCTTTGATTCTTTTCTTGCTTCTCTTCTTCTAACGATCTCGGAATGTAAATTTTGGTGTTTTTGAGTTACATAGTAGGTATTGAAATTTCAAGATTTTTAGAATTGTTTTTATTGTTCCTGCACTTTTTGGGCTATCCAGCTCAGATTTGGAATGAGGGTTATGCTGAATAATCTTGGGAATCATAGTGGCCCATCGAGGATGGGTAATTGGCTCTGACACTGTTTATTTCACCAGCTTGTACAATTTCTGATCGATTCTATCTTTTAGTGCAAAAGGAACTCTCCAAGCTTTGAGCACAATCGGTTTCCGCCTCTGTCCAGATTACCACAGGATCTTTGCACGTTCCCGAATCGGCACCAAAGACACTTAGAAATTCATTCACAGAATCTATTGGTGTGTGAATAACCAGATTGATTCCATAAATAGACATTCCCAGAGCAGTGAACCAGTTTCTTTAGAAAAGACTGACTCGATCACCCACGACCACTATCGGAGGAAGTTTTGCTTTGTACTTTCCGACTTCTGCATCAACAATTGCTCCTCCTACAGTTTCAATAATTCTGCTTTGATCGCGTAATACTGTTTCAGTCCGCCTCCTCAACTTCGTTTTTTTCTGAAAGAGTTCGTTCATACATGTCCCATTATTATACGACGCTATACATAGTGGAGTATACTACGGCCTTGCCAAAAATGCTATCTCGGAAACTAAGCGAGATAGAGGTATAGTTACTTTGGAGAAAATGATCCCCATCGAATTTTGAGCAACTTTGGTTTTTGTGTGTGGTATATGTCTGTCTGTCTGTCTGTACTCTGTGGTAATCATAAATCGATATATCTCAGGAACCCTTTGACATATCGACTTGAAATTTCGCCATCTTATCGTACTCAAAACAATATTATGTCATTAAAATATGAAGGAAATCGGAAAACTCTAAGGTGGTTTTTCCGGTATTTTTCGATTTTTCACCGGAAGTTTCTTGTAACCACTCTACAAATCGCAGAAGTGGTCCGATCGATTTCATTTTTTCTGAGAAAAAACTCTTTCAGGGAGAGACGAAGCCTATTGAAATTGAGCAGGGTCGGAAAATTCCAAGTGGGCTTTTCAAGGAGATTTTCCGAAACACACGGTTCGCTTTAAAACGACATATCTCCTGAACCAATAGACTAAATTCGAATTTGAAAAATGCACCGTATGCCTCTTTGATGACGCAACAAATTATTAATCCACCATTTTTTCATGCATCCATCGGAAAATGCGAAAACAAATGAAAATCAAAACATAAAAATTTGAAATCCTTCCAATTCAATATACAGGGTGTTATTTAAGTACGTGGCCAAACTTGAAGGGGTGATTCCTTGAGTGATTCTAAGACGAAAAATTCATATAAACATAGGTCCGGTAATGCTTCGTTTTCAAGATACAGGGTGTCAAAATTTTTAAAAGAAATCGTTTTTTTCGTAAATATCTTAATAACCTTTCAACCGATTTTATTGAAATTAGGCAGTGTTATTCAAGGTCGTAAAGGGCTAATTTGACCGTAACTATATCAAGATTATCATGTCCAGTGGCGTCCCGGAAGGCACTGTAACCAATATTTTTGACAGAAAAAATGTGCGCCACTGATTTTTTTGCAATTTTTGTATTTGTTTCACATTGAGCAACTAAAATTACAACTTTTTTATATCTAGATTTTTTTTCGTATCTTGTTTTGTTTTTGAGAAAAAACATAAAAATCACTTCATTGCACATCCCTGTGACAACACAATAAAACATTTCAACTACTAAACCATCAAAAACTGGGGTCTTACTAATATTTTTTCATATTAATACTCTATTCTAGTCTTGGAATTTTCTATTAAAATTGATGCAATGAAAAAACAAAAAATATGTATGTATGAATTGCAGCTCTTGCCTTCGGCTCGTCACAGGGATGTGCAATGAAGTTATTTTTATGTTTTTTCTCAAAAACAAAGCAAGATACGAAAAAAATTCTAGATATAAAAAAGTTGTAATTTTAGTTGCTCAATGTGAAACAAATACAAAAATTGCAAAAAAATCAGTGGCGCACATTTTTTCTGTCAAAAATATTGGTTACAGTGCCTTCCGGGACGCCACTGGACATGATAATCTTGATATAGTTACGGTTGAATTAGCCCTTTACGACCTTGAATAACACTGCCAAATTTCAATAAAATCGGTTGAAGGGTTATTAAGATATTTACGAAAAAAACGATTTCTTTTAAAAATTTTGACACCCTGTATCTTGAAAACGAAGCATTACCGGACCTATGTTTATATGAACTTTTCGTCTTAGAATCACTCAAAGAATCACCCCTTCGAGTTTGGCCACGTACTTAAATAACACCCTGTATATCGAAAACAAATGGGAAAATCGAAAATTATCAGGAGTGCAAAGTTATCCACTGGAACATTTCCTACAAATTATTACCCGAATTTTTTTCTGTAAATCCAATAGTACAGGAAATAAAGTAAAAAATATGAAAAAAAATGTTGAACGACCCATAGGGTACCATGAAGATATATTGAAAAACAAAAGATTATCGATAGATGAAGCTCATCGACTTCCACTGAACCATGAAATATATTTTCCTTTTGTTGATTGGAAGATGGAACAAAAGTGTTGAAAATTTTATTCTCAGATGATTCCAAATATCTCGAAAACAACTGGAAATATCTGAAAATGTTATGGAACCAAAATTATTCCTTTTGATAGAATCTACAAAAAATCCATATAACATTTTTCTCTGATTTCAATAGTTCGGGAGATACGATTATAAAACTAAAAAATTTACAATTCCTAGATAATCACTTGCCAATAGAAAACAAAACAAAAAACAAAAGAAAGTAAAAAAAGCACACTCGACTGTCTTGATTCCCACAAAGAAGAAATATGTTGGCATTGTTTGAACTTTCTTTTGTTTTTGTTTTTTTAGTTCCTATTGGCAGTCGAGTGGGCTAGGTACGTAGTTTGTGTGGAAAAACCAAGACAGTCGAGTGGGCTAAGTACGTAGTTTGTGGGGAAAAGCTCCAGTTCTCTGAACTTTCATAGCGTCGTATACACATCTTTGGTGCCCAATGATAGTTTCAATATAAAAATATGCTCATGATATGGTGCCATGGCCTCTACTTCCATCTTACATGAGCAATGATAAAATATCATCTGCTTTTATAGCGTCGTATAAATTATCTGACCTCTATACTAATCTAATACCTAATGAAAACTACATCTATACTAATCTGATACCTTTCAAAACTACGTACCTCACTTGTTCGTACTGTGACCATGAAATTTCCAATTGACGGCATTTCAAAATCAAACTCAGTTTTCATTTTCACGTATTACGGTACCAAATGACAAAACTCACAACCCTGAGAGGCCTGAGAGAGCCTGCAAAAAATGATTGGGTATAGATGACAGTCGATACGAAATTTGTATTTGTGTGTGGTCTCGTAATGGTGAGCAGATGTGTCATGAAATTTTATGCCAATTAACGGGAAAGATGAATCTCTGTTCGAATTGGCTCATTTATTTCATTTAAGCGATCGATTAAGAAAGCTGGCTATCTTGCGAAAAATGATGTAAAAAGGTGATGCTGTCGACGAGATGATGGAGTCGAGATAGAAACAACCAACCAGTATCTGTATACGAATATCAAGAACGATTATTAATTCTTTAGCTAACAGATATAATTATTTCATTCCACTCTATACTGTGGTGGTTCTGATACGCCCGACTCATGATTGTTTATTTTTCTATACCGGTTGTCCCAGAGTTTTTAGGCCAGCAGATATCTGGGTTAGCTAACATACAAAAGCAATTAATATCGATTTTTCTTCACGGAGAAAAAAATCACTCAACCTAAGTGAATATTTAATAGTGGCAAGTAAAAAATTGTATCCTATTTGGGACAAGAAAACAAACCAATAACCACAAGAACATTTGTGTTCTTCAAAAGTAACAGTCACTATCAACCTGTTTCATTGAATTCGAGATCGATAACCATTAGTGAACACAGCATTTGTCATTAGTGACTCATTCACTCGTCATTAGTGACTCATTCACTTGTCTTTAGCGACTCACTCACTTGTCATCAATGACTCATTCACTCATCATTAGTGACTTATTCTTTTGCGACTAGTGACTTATTCATTTGTCATCAGTGATATAATCACCTATCATTAGTGACTTGTTAACTTGTCATCGGTGACTTATTCACTTTTCATTAGTGACTTATTTACCTATCATTAGATAGGCACTATCAAAAATCACATAATATATTGTTCTCTGAAAAATAATATCCTTGATAAAAGAATAACAGATCATGAAGAACTCAACCCACCACGGCACACAAACTGAGAACCTTTACGAATATGATATAGCACTTGTTCAGAATGACTTGGAATCTCACTTGTACTAGCGAGAACGCCTGTATACTTCACAAATGCAAAGATCATAATGGAGCCGTGGACAGTGGAAGTGGTCGCGCTGGACATGGGCACCCGGATAATATAACGGAGATGTCCGAACGGAGAAGATATGTATAACAACAGGTGAGCTCTTACTTGCACCAATCGAGTTGACAGATTGCCTTCATCGATGAGTTCGCTCAGAGCAAGTGATTTTGTCTCAGAATAATAATTTGATAATGGTGAGTATTCATTAACCTAGAACTAGTTTAGTGTTCACTTATAATTGGCGACCTCAAAATACATATTGATTTGGTCAATACCAACAAGAGCCCTGACTCTGATTGCCGACTCCGAGTACCTTATTTTTCTACCGTTGGTGAAAATGTTCCTGTCACAATAGACTCTTTTTCAAGAAAACGATGTACTTGGCTGAGTTTTCTCAGTGTTTGAATGTTTTTTTTTCAAATGACTGTTGTCACTCTGCTACACTCACCTTATATCGCCAATTCAGACTTCGTGTGTAGTTCTGATTGCAAGGTATAATTATTGGGTGTAACAGTATAACAAGCTTGCAGAAGTATTCACTTCTCTATGAATTTGACTATAACGCTATACCTGTCGATCGTGATGTACCTATACTCGAATTGAGAATGAGACGTTCTGTAAGATGAACCGAAAAAAAAAAAGAAATGTAGGTGCAATTTGAAAAACCAAAGTAAAGGGTACTTTCTATGTATAGATTGTTGACACAAAGGTGATTACGTCTCACCATTTTGGAGACCTATTGCTCTCATGAATTCCACAATAGCTTAGATGAGTATGTATTCTTTTAATCTCTGGGACACTCGGTATATATATGACAATTAATGAGTTGTGTTTAGCAAACGTCAGGTTTCCTCTTTTCCTGAATTGCACGAAGAGGGACCTATATCGTGAAA